AATTTGATTTAATTTAATATTTTATAATTGTGCAACGAGATAAAAAAAAAACTAATCCGATTCAGGAATTAAATATTCCAATTGTTTCGATGACATTTTTATTTAAGTCAGAAACTTAAATGTTAAACAAATATTAATATTTAAATTTGATTTAATTAAATATTTTATAATTGTGCAACGAGATCAAAAAAAAAAAACTAATTCGATACAGGAATTAAATATTCCAATAGTTTCCATGACATTTTTATTTAAGTCAGAAACTTAAATGTTAAACAAATATTAATATTTAATATTTAAATTTGATTTAATTTAATATTTTATAATTGTGCAACGAGATCAAAAAAAAAAACTAATTCGATACAGGAATTAAATATTCCAATAGTTTCGATGACATTTTTAAGTCAGAAACATAAATGTTAAACAAATATTAATATTTAAATTTGATTTAATTTAATATTTTATAAAAAAAAACTAATCCGATGCTTGTCAAGTTTCGAATCCTTGAGCTCTCATACTTATAGTTGAACTTAAAGCTACTCGTACACCCTGAAATAGCTTCTCTGCCCAGCTCTAGACTAGGAGCTTGACATTTTCCTTGATCAGACCACGTATGTATATGAGAAGACTGATTGATAGTACATACTTGCAGGATTGTGTGTCTGTATGAACACCGACAATTTTCAAATGATAACATCTAGCAACACGCAAACTTGTAAAACAGACTTGTCTTATCTACATGCAGATCGAGTTTATTTTGGACCATATATTATTTTATTATTTTATATAGCTGTCGTAGGATCGGTCGGTGCAACAAGCACTCTCTATAGAATTACTTATTTGCTTGTAAAGATGCCTCATCATGTTCAATATCGGTTTGCTGCATCATATGGTTTCCATGGGAAATATTGATACAACAACTTTTTAGTAGAGCCTCTTGAAATCCTAATGTTTCATAATAATCGTAGGAATGATTGGAGCTTCAAACACGATATTAGTTGAATGGCTATTGCGGGCTAAACTGCGGATGCAGGGTATTCAAAAGAATTATTTAACAGCTAAGCAAATTTTTTAAAACAAATTATAATTGAAGTATTCTCATATTTTCTCTACGCTGCCCACAAAAGTTGAATCTGCACGCTTTCTCTGAATTAGAAATACAAGTATATGGCGTGGCAGAGGCAGGACAGGAGCTGCAGACTTTGCTTTGTTTTAAGAAAAATTTCTCTTTTATATATATACAAGTATAGTATATATATGCTTCTAAGTCTAGGTCAGATTCTAGGACCTTTGTAGGGATTAGGCAGAGAATGCTGCATTCAGTAAACTAATCATTTATAAATTAGTACCGCCATTTATATGCAATGCTGTTAAGGATAACAAGTCTCTTAACCCTCCTTTAGAGGATCAACTGTCTCTTAATCTATGGCTTCGAGGTCTTGGCTTGAAGTGAAAGATGCGCTCATGTGGCGGACAAAAGCATTGGACTTGTAATATAACTGAGAAAGCTACACTATTATTTAAATATGAAATATTTATGCCAGTAGTGTGTTGGTCGAACCTTGGAAGCTTCCAACCTTTGCATTAATAATTGTTCCTCTTTAAGGACCCTTAGAGAACTATGCTCTTCATTTAAGAATCCCAGAAGAATAGTGCAAGGCAGATTGCAAGTAGCGTTCGCTTTTAAATACTTTAAGCTGTTCATATAGTACAGCTGTCATCCCCCTGCTGCTTAACTGGCCGATTCTGGTGCCGATATTTTGGATATTATATACGAGTATTGTTGTTGTTGTTGTTGGCAGGCAGGCAGGCAGGGAAACTCTTAGACAGTCGGCTAATGAGAGCTGCCTGGCTTGCCGGTTGCGTATCCTGCACGCACCTTTGCCGTCCCGCCTAATTGGCCGCCCGCCTCGGCAGGAAACGGGGCAAATGGCACGGAAGACGTGTGCACGGCGGAAACACGAAGGGGAAATGCAACCGGCGCATCTTGGAAGCGACACCGCTTTATCAGCCAACAACTGAGGCATGTGGCAGGCAAAAGGTTCACAAAGTGGCGGCAAGGCTGGGGCTGCAGCGGATGGACGCCTTCTGCAAAACTTTGTTTTCACTTTTCCGCAACGCGGTCGCTCGTGAGAGGAAAGGGAGGGGGGCAGGGGGGGGGGGGGCAACAACATTTGCCAAACAAATTGTGAGCAAGTTGTTGCAATATGGCAACACAGGAAACGTAAACGCAACGTCGCTTGTTATAATTTGCAACAACGTGCAACAAGGAGTGGGGGGAGGAGGGGCAGGAAGTGGGGCTTATGTAGTGAAGTGCCAAGTTGATCAAAAACTTTTCCCAAGGTAAGGCAGGCAATAGCTGGCATCTCAAGATAGCGACCAACGAACCTTTAAACAATCTAAGGGGGGTTGGAAAAGGAAAAAATAAACAACAACAACAACAACATCAGTAGAGTATTGTCGCCACGTTGCATGGCCAAACACTTGCAGTGGGCCACATTAACACAATGTCAGAATGTTAAAAAGCGTGATTTCGGCAACTGTGCAGTGGCACGAGGACTGCCACCAGCAGCAGCAGAGGCGCCACAGCAAACAAGCGCAGTTTCTGGCACTGCTGTGCTGCTCTTGCTATTTCTGCCCTGATGATTGAGTGAACTGTGGAGCTGTGGCTCGAGGGGAGCAGCGGGCAGGGGGCAGGAGGCAGGGCTGGCAAATGTCTAGGACGTCGCACGTGCGGCAGACAGCTTGACAAAAAACTGTGGCACCCGCACCAAGAGGCAAGCCACATACTATACAATGCATGCCAGCACCAAGAGGCAAGCAGGGGAGACGGACGAGATAGGGGGGAGTGGCGTCGACGAGCAGGTAATGCCCGACATCAGTGACAGGATTTAAACGGATTACAACAACGACGAGCACGATGACGATGACGACAATCGAGTTAGCAGCAGCAAGCTGCTTGGGTTTCCGTTTCATTTTGCTTCTTTTTTTTATTTTTTAAACATACAGCTCAGAGCGTTCGTCTGCATGTGTCTACACTGGGAAAAATTATGTCACAAAATGGTGCAATAATACTATAATAATCCCATCAAAAGACAACTATAAAATACTTGTTAGGTTTCTTAAAAAATCGAATCTAATTCGTAAATTATAGTTCTATTACAATTCCATAAAATCTTCATTAATGCACCCATCAACTTTTGTATAGAATACTATACTATTTCATTATAATAAATCATATTATTTTTAAGTTAAGCTTAAAGCCACGGCGCCATAGCCTAGACCACCATAGCTTATCTGTAATTTTAATTACCTTTAAGCTGTATATAAAAATAAAAAATTAATTACTTTATCACGCAAGTTGGATGAAAAGGAAATCCTGCCTTGAATCTCTCTCCCTAACAATAATTGCGATATGTTTTAATAAAAATATTTTGGAAAACAATACTCAGCATTTTATGAAAAAAAATATTCTTAGAACTAAAAGCGAATATTTTTGCTATTAACATATGATTATATCAATGATTACAAATTTCAAAAAACTAACAACATTTGACAAACAACTACTTTTACTATAAATGCTAAGTATTTGTTATCATTTTACAGTTAGTTTTTGAAGTAAAACTTCTTGTGTGAGGGTTTTGAAGGCTGTATCGGCAACCTTTTTTGTAACGAAACCAACAGCACGTAACTGCTTTTTTCTGAGGCTCTTGAAAGCCTGTTCGGCAACAATCGGTGTCGGCGGGTTTTCTATATTTTTTGAAGCGAGTCCTATAGCTATTTATAGCGGTGTTTTTGGCCATTTTCTAGCGTTCTTTTTATATATTTATAGTGGGTTTTTTATACATTTTTAAGCGGATCTTCTACCCTTTCTCTAGCTACTTCTAATTCTTTTGTTGCTATTTTCTATCAGGTTTTCTAACTATTCCTAGCGGTTTTTAAAGTCATTTTCTAGCTGCTCTCTAGCTTAGTAACTATTATTTTTTATTCATTATTTATTTTTCTTTAATGTCATTAAAAACAAATTAACTTTTCTTTTTTTTTATTATTTTTTGTCTCAACTTTCAATACAAACGCATTAATAACTTTAAGCTTTAACATACTTATAAATAACTCCACTTGTTGCACTAGGAAGTAATTACCAATAAATAAAATAAAAATAAAGCGATAACCATTTCTTCGCCAGTCTTTTCAAGCCAAATTTACATTAGCCAACAATCATTGATGAATAAAAAAAGAGGCTGTCCTCAAGAATGGTTAAAAAAACATTATCGCAAATTAAATCATTTCAATACAACCATTAAATTTCACTTCTCGTTTATAGATCGTGTAGTGTTGTAGTGTAGAGCAAAAAGGGCATTATATGAAGAAGTTTCAAAGCTAAAATTACTTTTAAATAATGCTATTACTTGATTATTATTTACTTCTCAGCCCAGACATTCGCAATTTTTTAAATCGATAGTATTACAAGTGTTTTAGGATGAAGCTTAGAATCCAGTTTTTCGCTGCGTGTATGTTCGAATGAGTATGTGTCCGTGTGTGTCTGTGATTGTGTTTGTATGGGTGTGTGTGTGTGTGTGTGTGTGTGAGAGAGCAGTTGATAAGTGTGGCCAGGCACGGGGCACTAAACATTAGATAAACACAAGCACGACGCTGATGATGGCGACACCATGGCCGTTGCCGTTGCCATTGCCATTGCCGATGACGTTAAAGCTGCTGGCTACTCTGACTACGGACTGTGGACTGTGGAGTAAGGACTGTGAACAGGGGACAGGGGACTGCGGAGTACGGACTGCTTCAAACTACTACGGCCAGCTGACTGATGATGTGCTGCGTCAGAGACCAAAAGAGTTGACCACATGCTGTCGCTTCTTCTGCTGCAGCTGCGGTTGCTCTCTAATTAATGAGGCACTGCAGCGCCCGCTTATGCTGGTTTACTTAGCTGGCCTTTGCCTTTAAGGCCCCCCTCCCATCCCAGGATACCCTTATCACTTGCTACTTACAGTGTATGCTTAGCGAGATGCGCTTCGAAACCGATGGCGGCACACCATTCGAGGCAATGCACAGATATGAGCCCATCTCGTTGCGTGAGATTTTCGTCAGCTTCAGGACCTCACCGCGAAACGAAGTAACTGCAAAGTGTGAGCAAATGGTAGGCATTAGACGGATCCATTACCCAACAGCCACACCCACAGCTGCACCCACACCTACCCAATGTCTTTGTGCCCATGTTGTCCTTCAGCACGATTTCGTTGCCATCCTCGCGACGCCAGGTGACAATGGGTTCCGGATAGCCACGGGCCCTGCAAATGGGAGAAACAAGCATTTTAATGTCAATTTATTAAATCAACGCAAACACACCAATCATGTTATTTTAAAGCATGTCCTTGACACTGCAGAAGGGAACAATGAACATTTCTTTTCATTCATTTAACACAAAATACTCGCATTGGACCAAAACATTTGCTCATTTAAAGTTCAAGTGCTCTGAAATTCATTTGTTTATACTTACTATTAATACTAAGTATATTAGTAGTATGTGATAGTTCCAAGGTTGTGAAGGAACTTGCAATAAATGAAGTGATCCGACTTTAGAGAGAAACCGAGTGCCTTAGTTGGCTAAGACCAAGCACTTCTTTCAAAGGCAAATAAAACAAATTGGACCCAGTCTTGAGGAAGACTTTCATTTCATTCATTTCAAGCAACAACTGTTTCCACTCACAAACGACCTTCTTGCAGGACACTGAAGACTAAGAAAAATTTTACGCAATTTGAAAAATGTAGACTTTGCTGAAATTTCAGGGAATATCACTGGAGGGTTTTCCGATTTCTTAAAGCAGTCAGTAATTAGTAAATTTTCCCAAAAGTTCGAAAAAGTATTGGGGATGGGGAAAATGAATCCATTTTTTGTTCCCCATAATCAAATTGTATTTAATAAGGATTGCATTGTTGAGGATAGCCTATTAATTGCTCTTTCAGAAAAGCTCCTTGGTGCCCAATCATTTGTTCATTACTGCAATGAATCAATATTAAATCTAACTATATAGTTTGATTTATTCTTATATATCTGGCGGGGCTACAGAAGAACTACAAATTGAGTTAAAAAATTTGGAATTTTCATATCAAATCAGACTATATCCCATTCTTTCTTACATCTTGCATCTAAAGAGAGACTAAAATTTGTTTAAATTAAAAATTCTTCCTATATTTTATTAAACAGGTGTACTGCAGCCTAATGTGGCAGCTTAATCCAGTTGTACCTTATTTAAGAGTTTATAAGTTTTGAAATTTAAAGCTAAGATTTTATTTCAAGGACTTTAAAGTAATTGGCGTCTGCCACTTATAAGGCAGTTTGTCTATATCTTTAGTTGATATTGATAGTGTTTGCCTCCGCCTGCTATAAGATTCCAATTAAATCATGGTAGTTGAGCTGCGCAAGTTAAGGTGCAGACGGGTCATTAAATGACCTCCAAAGTGTGTCTCGATAATTACAAGCAATTTGATTTCAATTGGTTTCTCATCAGCACAGTCAGGAAGGTTAAGTGGCCTGTGTTGTGTGTTGAATGAATTGGGATTGTGATGTCGCTGTTGCTGTTGCTGTTGCCGTTGCTGTCGCAGTTGTGCTTGTGATTTCAATCAACTTGAGTTGAGTTGAGTTGAAAATTGCGCGGCACAGCGCCTAAAAATGGGCAATGGAAATTTTCAAGTTCAGTTGCCTATTAAATTTATGATGATGATACTGCTATTAGCATGCGGCCGGTCCCATTGTGTTGTGTTGTTGTCGGCCAGCAGAGCAGAGCCGAGGCACAGGCACAAAGTTCTTGTAATGTACATGGCCGTTAAGCGCCAGCCGCCGTCTGTGGGAATCTGAACGCGATTGTGGATGTGGATGCGAATGTGGGGCAGAAATGCATGTTGGAACAGCAGTTGAACAACAGTTGAAGCTGTTGGAGCAGACACGGGTGTGGTAAATTTTTATGATGCCGCAAACAGATGCAAAATGGCTGGCTGAAAAGAAAAGGCACACACACACACACACAGATACACTCCCGAGCAAACTGGCAGGCAGGCAGGCAGGCAGCCCGAGATATAAGAAGCCAACACAATGGACGGCCAGTCAGGAGCAGTTGCTTAGCTAAGACTAAACGACTTGGCGGGCTGTCTTCCTTCAATCTATGCTTGTATGTGTGCGGGTGTGTGTGTGTGTGTGTGTGTGTGTGTCTGTGTGTGCATATATAGTGCTGTCTTGTGCCATGTTTATGCATGCAAAAGCAACAGCCAAGCGCAAAAACTCTATACAAGCCAAAGACAACTTTTGGCTTGTGTGGCCAGGAGCCAGAAACCAGAACCAGCTATCATTGAAACAGCAGGCGCAGCGATCGTCACAATGGGCCTAACTACACTCTCCAGCAGTCAGAATTCAATTTGAATTTCATTTAAAAGCATCTCCAATGTTCTTTTAAACTAAATGAAAAACGAACCAACTTATGGGTCAGTTATGAGCGATCAAGTCAATGGATTATTTTAAATATAATAATTCATAAGCAGGATACTCAACAATTTCACAATTTTCCACTGATCTATGAGCTAGTCTCAAACATTTTATTAAAAACTGTGAGAGGACACTAACTATTGATGGAGCTGAGCAAGTTTGTAGTTCAGATTAGAGACAATAGGTTTATTCTATTTAATATTAATTTTTTTATATTTCAGATTAGGGACGTTAAGTTCTTTGTAATTAAATTTTAATTTTTTATATTTTTAAATTTGTTCTATTCCTTGACTAGTGAGTGAGTTTCAAAAAATTTTATAAGCATCGAAAACGATATCGTATTCTATGAATTATGGGAATTTTTACGCTTTCGAATAAACTAATAATTTAAAAATTGATGCTTATTCTTCTTTTTTTTAGTTTTTAAAAATAAACCACACGTAAAAAGGCAATGGCAGGATTGATTGTGCTCCAGCAAGTCCAAGCACTATACAAATTTCTTATTGGAAATCAGGTATGTAAGTTAAATAGAGATTATTCAAATCGGTGTGGGTGATATCTTTAGCTGTAAATATTTATATATTCCTTTGAATTGTTTTGCCTTTTCTGATACTACTACTCGTATGAGACCATTTATCATGATGCGCTTACTCTATTGGTAAAAAGTGTTTAAAGACCCCTTTCCAAAGCATTTTTACGTACAACTTTTCGGGCTTAAGCACCTACTCGTATGTACACCTATGCCCCAAATTAAGCAGGAATGTCCGAATGGAAGCACCCCGAGGAGCCACAGCCAAGACAAATCTTTGAAAGTAGACAAAAGTGAAGCCAATGTTATATTGTTTCTACGATTCGTGGGCAATCATTTATGGGGAATTTGTATATATATTTGTTATATTTTCATTATCCCTTTTTAATTATTTAATATGTGGATGTATTTTATGACTTTTTTGGAAGATTTTGTTACCCAGTATGAAAGAAAACTTGAAAAAATTAGCAAATTGAAAACATTTTAGCCCAGATTGTTAATGGTATTTAGATATTTGAGAAATCTTTATCAATATTCTAGTACTATACATTGGACACTTGTAGAATGTAGCACGTTAACTAAATTATTGATTTCATTAACAGAGTTTTAATTGTTGGTGTATTTTCTGACTAATATGAAAGATTTTTTTACGCATTATGAAAGAAAACTTTCAAAATAACAAAATTAAAAGAGCACAGATTACTAATAGTATTTAAAAACGCGGGAAATCTCTTTCCCACTCTTCTAAATTTTTATTCTAAAAGAAAAATGAATTACGTTAACTAAATTAATGATTTCATAGTATTAGTTATTAATAATTGCAAATAATTAAATGACGATTGAGATCTGTTTCTACGCATTTGTACAAGTATTTCAAATAATGACATTTTTAAGTGCATTTTTTGGAAATTCCTCGATTGTGCGCCACCCACGTCCATGGAATTGGCGAGCAGCAACAACTTTCAACTTCTCACTGCAATTGCAGCAAAGTTTTGTGCCGTTAAAAGCATAAAACCCACGACGAGTCCTGCCATCGTCTCTGTGTCCTCGTCTACCGTCGACCGTCTGGTCAACTTTTTTGCTCAGTCCTTTTAATTTGGATGCGCCTGCGCCACGCCTGCTTAAAGTTGAATTCATTTTACGGGATTTGCGCTAAGACGCATTAACTTGCGAAAAACGCAGCAACCACTCGGGGTCACTAATAGCTTTTCACACACAAGCTCGCACGCACACACACACACCCACAGATAGAGAGAGAGAGAGAGAGAGAGAAAAGCAGGCAATGAGCTTATCGCCGTCATTCCATCATTTTGCGGTTAAATCGTTAAAAATACTTGCTGGTCAGGTTCATAAATCAGTGGCGGCTAAATGCGAGACGATGGCGGCGATAAAGACAGGCGACAAGGATATGGGGGACGCGAAGGACGCTGGGGAAGGGCAACACAGTTAGTTAAAATGAGGAACCGCAGAAAAACAAAAAGCGTCGAGTCGCTAAATCAAGAGAAATGAAGTGTCGCTTAATTTGTTGACATTATTATGGTGAGTGTGAGTGTGTGAGTGGCTGCTGGAGCTTGCAGCTTGGATTTGGCAGCATTTCAAAACTCTACCAGCACCACACACTTCACTTGTTGTTGTTGTTGTTGTTGTTTCAGGTTTCATTCTCGTTTTCATTTTCTTTCCGCACTCACCGACATGTTAAACGCACCGAACTGCCTTCGGGCACTATGACATCCGAGGAGGTATCCTCGCTTATAAAATCTGGCGGTATAACAACGTCCAAGAAGCCAATCTGCAAGAAATATTATTAAAGCAACATTAAAAACTTTTCAATCAACGCATTGCTTTAAAGCACATAGCTAGGTGTGAGTTAATTTACTTTGAAGAAACTGCTTTATTTGAGTTTAGTTTCTTTTAAGAGAAGCTGCACATTTTTCAAGAAGTTCAGCTTAGAAATATAAATGTAAGCTTCTTCAAAATACTATACAACAAACAATTCGCTAAAAAGAATATTTAAGAAATTAAAGTTAATAAATTAGAGCTAAATTGTCATTAAAAAAAATATAACATTTCTAACAGATGCATAACTTTTTTTTTCATTGAAAGAATCAACAAATTGTTGGGTTACTTATTTAAAACAATGTACTATTCTTTTTAGTGATAAAATCGTCTTAATGATTTTTCTGACAACAAGAAGGAATTTTACTTAAACTTAATTTATTTGGAATAGTTTCTTAACATTGGAAGCAAACAATAATTACACTCTTCATTGTTCATAGAGCTAAATTGTCATTAAATTTCTGAGAACGATAAAGATTCGTTAGTTCATTAAAGGTACATCACTGTTTTTTACATTAAAAGAAACAAGAAATTAAAATAATTTGTGACTAGTATATTAATTTATAAGAAATTTTCTTGTCGTACTAGGAACTAATAAACAAATAAACAAACAAGGAGAGGGTAAACCGAAAAAAAATGTCCCCTTTGCTTTTTATAATATTTTAAATACTATCAATATGAATTTTCTGCCAGCAATAAGGACCGCAAGTAATGTTTTTTTTTAAAGCGCAAAAATCATTCATTTACAGTAGCTTTGATCAAAAATAAAACTGAAGTTTAGCTGAAAATTAATCATTATATTGTAAGAGAATAAATTAAATTATAAAATAATCATTATTTTGCAATTTTTAAAATAACATTTACAATAATTACAGTTTTTTGACATGGTTTCGTAAAGTGGAAAGGAAACAATAATTACATTCTGCATTATTTTTAAGTGTGTATTACATACAAGTATATATGCGAGTATACAAAAAGGGCAACTTAAAACAATTACATTTCGAAAAGAAAGATAGATTTTTTTATTTTGCTGCATTTTGTTTTGTTATCCTAGTATTCAGATCTGTGAATATTTGCTAAAGAAATGAATCAACTGTTTTGTGGACAGAAACAGAGATCCCTTTATTTCTTCTTATACAGTTTGATATTTTAACAGAGTTTTTCAAGACTGCAAGTAATTTAAATCATGATTATGCAATGATGGTAGCGACGTGATTGGAATCGAGTACCCCTACTCAGGAACGAACTCCTAAATTCGTTTTGTTAGATCGGTTGTAAAAATTCTATACTCTTGATAGGCTACAGCTGCAAGCAGACCGCAGTTGAATGATATTTGCATGGCGTGTCGATATTTTGAGCTAAAAAATTGCCCAAGCTGAAAAAGTTGTATCTAAATATATTAAATATATAATATAAACACTGATTAGCTAATGCAGCTTAGTGGCTAGCTACGGAAAGTGACAAAACTCTCGAATACAAGTTGCCCCCAGTAGCGTGAGGCGCGTAGATGTCGGCCTCCAGGCAGAGTATACATATGTACATATGTATGTACACACAGACACCATTAATCGGGACAATAAAGTGTGCGTCTAGCAGCGGCAAAGACAAATGCTTGGAGCAATGACCACAGTGCGTATGAGTAATAAACAAACAAACACACATACGCACTCAGGTGAGACGAAACTAAAACTTGTTAAATGAAAATGACATTTAGATAAACAGCTAGAGGTGTGTCCAGGAGTTGGATGGAGTGAGGGGGAGGGGAGGGGAGGGGAGAGAAAATTTACTACGCACACAGCGAAAATTTGCTGATTATGCCGAGACGCGGTCATAAAGCGAGGAAGACGAACAGGGCCAAAGATTTTATGCGCAAGGAAAGCAACAAAGACAAAGACAAAGGCAGAAACAAAGCAAATGAGGTTGAAATAGTTGAGGAGGCGTACAGAGGAATACATTCTTCCTGCTGGGCAATGGACTTTGGACGTGGACACTTAGCAGAAAAGAACACAATTCATACGCATTTCGCTTTCGTGTGCAGCTCAATGCACCTCCCCCCCCCCCTTCCACCCACTCTCCACCAATCACACCCCAACACTGCCCTTGTTGTTGTTGTTGTTGTTGTTTTTGTGCAAAGCGTTAAAGTAAAAATAAAAATTAAGGAAGCATGAAATACATTTTATTGGCGCCATAAACTTCACTTGGCTGGACACATGAGTGTACGTGTGAGCGACCAAACACACACACACACACACACACACACACACACACACGTACCTCGCATACATAAACATGATGCTGGAATTTATATGCTGCGTGCGCCTTTGTCTATGTGTTAGTGTGTGTGTGCGAGAGAGCGTTGTTTGTTCATAGTTTTCGCTTTCGATTTGCTGCGCTTTCTTTCATTCTATCCTACACTTTCGGCTGACTCGCTGAGCTACAACAACAATAACAAGAATAAAAACAACAAGAACAATAACAACAACAACAACTGTCTGCTACAACAACAACTACTCAGCGCATTCCGTTTCAGTTTGCGCTTCAATGCCGCAAGAAATTTGCTCAAACACTTTGGAAAATTGCTTTCAAGCAGTCGCCCTTCAAAAGGGAGAGAACAAAAATATATACACACGTTGTTCTATAGATACTATACTATATGTATTTGTATAGTTCAAACAAACTAAACGCGAGAGTTCTTGCTGCCTGAGGAGCTGTCCGCATGCAAAATAAGCCAGACATTGAAGAAAATATTGAAAAATTATTTCTGCAGACTGTCTTTCGTTTCAATTTCGACTTAATAAAACAATCAACAAAATAAATAAAACAATTCAAATAACATTAACAAGCATTGGAAAATAAAGATCATCTACATATTGATTTACTTTTTGAATGCCAATAAGTCACAATTAAGACTAAAGGACTTAATTCTGAATCAAACTGAATCGCTGCTGATATTCCTTAGTTCTAATTTTTCGATATTAACGGAGCAGAACATATTTAGAATTGATGAAATGCTATTCAGGTAAGCAACTAATACTAGATTTTAGTTAATGCAGTCTTCCAACATATGTGGACAAAATATAATTTTTCGCAATTTTCCTCTTATTAAAGGTAAAGAGCAAAGGATAGAAATAAAAACCATGTTGCATGTTTAAAATACTTAGAAGACATAATTTATTTATACACTCGAACTTACGAGCTGAGTTTGCTTTAAGCAGAGAATATTTGTTTTCAAAGTTTTCAAAAGCTCCACTAGAAAATGGTTATTCGAAGAGGTTGAATGGTTGCCACGACTTAAGGCATCCGTATAAGCATGTCCGTCTGTATGAACATCGAGAACTTTTGAGCCATAAAGGCTAGGCCCCATGTTCGGTACAGGGTGTGTAAGCTTGTCTTAGATAAATGCAGAGCAAGTTCATTACAGATCGTGCTTAACACTTATCGGTGGATAAATCACTCCAAGTCGATTAACATTAAGCAAACCTGGCCATAAACTAAAGAGAGCTTCATTAAATAGCTGCGATCAGCCTAGTACTCGCAACTTTTTTGCTTAGGCACATAGATGTATCTAAAGCAAGGTTGGTATAAATGAGTTTGAAATAATGCTTTACCATCTAAAGTTGTATCATGAAGCTGCTATACTAGGAATGATTAGTTGAAGGGCTGTACGGAAGAAAAGGATTTGGGGTTGGAAGAATTGAACGTTGCTAGTTTTTATTCTTAGCGACAAATACTAATGTGATATATATACTAAAGTTTATAGAACAGACAAATTTACAAATGTTTAATTATTTTGATTGGAAAAACTACAAGTATTCAAATGAATAACAATTTGTCATTACCAACAGAAAAATATGCATTATCTGGAGTATTTAGAATTGCTTTGGCGAAGAAATAAATACTCTATAAAGTTTAGAAAATATAAACGTTTTATAATGAAACCATGCATAGAGATCTTGGAACATTTATTCATGACTTTCTTTTGCCAATCCCTGTCATCTTCTCTCAAATACAAGTACGTATATTAGAGAGATCTCAGGCAGAGACTACTAAAGAGTTTGGACTCACCTGACTCTTCATGGGATCCGTATTTAGTTGACACATATAGCCGCCGCGATCCTCCTCGGAGACGGCCTTGATGTGCAGATTCCACGTGTTCTGGTCCAGGTGGCTGACAGTTACGCGCGGGTTGTGGGTGATGACGTTTTCGTGTATGGCCTGGATGGCCTTGGTGTCTGCCTTCAGCCAGCCCACCTGTGGAGGCAGACGCAGAGGCAAGGGGTTAAGCACATATTGAAGTGTGTGTGTGTGTGTGTGTGTGTGTGTGTATTGGACCCCTCTTTATGTCTTGCAGGCGACGCTTTAAATGAGTGGGCGGGCATGGACATGGGTGTGGGTGTGGATGTGGATGTGTTGTTCAAATAGTGTTTGTGGTTATTTGTTATTGCTGTTGTTGTTGTTGTTGTTGTTGTGGTTGTAGTGGTTCCCCAATGTTTGCAGGCTTGCCTCAAGTGCATGAGTGTGCGAGTGTTTGAATGTGTGAATATATATATATGTGTGTGTGTGTGTGTGTGTGTGTGTGTATGTGTGATTAATTAAGCTTTAAAGTGCGCCATGTGGCCGTTGTTAATGCTGTTGCTGTTGCTGATTCTGTTGTTGTTGTTTTACTTACGCGATAGCCGCCCAAACGTCGCACGTGACACGTGAAGGTTGCGTCGCGTCCCACAGCGACGGACACATTCGAAATGCTCTCCACAAATTCGGGCTGAAAGGCGCCAATCGCTGCAAATGCAAGTGTAACAGAATGAAGTGAGCGGTGAGTAGTGAACAGGGAACAGAGAGTGCAGTTATAAGAGAGATGCTAAGCGGCCAGATTAGGGAAGCAGTGGAGGGGCGCTCTGTGTGCGAGTATGTAGTTGTGGTTTCTGCGCGTATGTGTGTGTGTGTCTGTATGTCTGTGTGTGTGCAGCCAGTTAATGATATCGGCGGGCAACCTTGGCAAGTGGCTGTGCCAGCCAAAAAGTCAGTGATTTATCGCCTTTAAATGTGAGCGGAGCCAAGCAAGGGGAAGGACACAGCAGCGGCGAGAGCAGAGGCAGCAAAAGTTAACTTCATCTGAGACAGATTTGTTTAAACATTTGCTTAAAAACTACCATTCTCTTATAATATTTAAATAGAAATTATAATGAAATGAGATGCATGTTTGTTATAAAAAAGGGGCTAAAAAAATATCTTATCTTCGTACAAGGCAAGAAGTAAAGGCAACTTCTATAACTGAACCCATCATAAAAGCCAAGACTATATAAATAGGTGAGCAAGTGAAACATTTCCCTGAATTTGTAAATAATAATGGAATTAAAATATTACAATAATAAACATAAAAAGCAATAAAAACTATATTGAATTAAATATAATTTAAAGTAATAGGAAAATGCTAAAAACACATTACTATAATTCGTGGATTCGGAGATCAGTTGACAATCAAAATATTAGACAGACATCGGAGAGATCTTAAACAGCAAGATAATACAAATAGGGAAAAGGGATAAAAAAAGGAAGAACAGAAAACAAAAAGTGAACATAGAATTAGATATGGCGTAAGAGTTCCTGAGCTAAAAGCATCCAGATGCAGTGCAGCTGCAGGATAGATAAGGAAAAGGCTTCGAATATATGAACCACATATTTTGAAAATAAAATCAGAATGAATTAGAAATTTTAAGCATTAGTTTGTTTGTTCCTTTTGTTCCCACAGTTGTCTGCGCTGATTACAAGGTGCAACAATTGGCGATAAATATAAATCAATCAGCAAACAGCTATACCATTTATAGTATTATAGCTATGTCTTACGCATCTCTGAATCGCCTAGTATGCTTCAGGATTCGGTTTATAAATGCATTAAAGTGATAAATGAGTCAGCTGCTGGGTATTTGCTTCCAAGGCGCCATAAAGGACTAATTGAAGCTCAATATATTCGCATGTTCTCGTACACTCGTATAATACGAGCCGCCATATGGCAATGGAATCGGGATTAAATGGAGGAATGTGTGAGGCTGTGGCATACGCAAATATAAATAATTTATTGAATCATTGAAAATCAAACATTTCATTTGCAAGTGCTGCAAAAAACTTTTAACAGAACAAAAAAGCAGCGCATGGCATGAAAAAAAGAAGGGCTGGCTGCCGGGCGAGGCTGGGAGGAGGAGGGCGATTGGGTATTCGGCTGAATGAGTGACTGTGACCACGTGGAGCACAAAAGTGGCAGACAGCGGCAACGATGCACGATTGCTGCTGCCACTTTGCTCGTCGTTGTCGGTGTCGGAGTCGCCGCCGACGTCGTCGCCGACGCCGTAATGTATGCAAAAAAGTTTTTGCCAAACTTGAAATTTAAATATTTATAGACACTGCCGTTGGCAGCGGCAGGCGATAGGACGAGCGGCCAGACCGGGAAACGCACGGTACGGCACGGCACGACCAAGCACGGCACGGCACGGCACGAAGCGCAACGACGTCGTTTGTATTGTGTAGAAAAATGTGCTGAATTGACGCAATTGACCAAAAGCATGATTTATTGGATACTTTTTGGCCATAACATAGACACCACCAAGTGGGGGGTGGGGGATTGGAAATGGTGGATGCCGGCGTGCGTGGCAAGCGGAGGGGTCGGACGGATACGCTCAAATCAAAGTTATGAACTGCTAAGTGCCGCGACGATTGAATTTTTAGAGCGAATATGAGGAGGCTGTGTAGAACTAGAGTAGAGTAGTGAGTAAGTACTTTTAGTTTGGCATATTGCGAGAATGATAGCATGTCTAGACTGACAATATGATTGGCACAACATACACACATGCATACTCGTACATACATTCAATAGAAATACCATATTTAAATCGGATGGGATAAGCGATGGTTCCGAAAGGTACCAACAATAATTAAAGCTAGAAATCACATTGCTTCCGAAACTAATTTAATTTTCATTTCAAATGCATTTCCATGCCATCGAATAACGGTAAACATTGTCGAAGTGCTCCTTTAATTATTGAATTACAAAGCTCTTATTGATTGCACATGTGGCTAATATACTAATAGCACAGTAGAGCAGTGCTAATATAAATTTTGTTTATTCAGATGTTTATGTATTATTGTAGTAGGATCAGAACGTATGCAGAAGCTATGGCAACCCTGTTAGTAACGTCCCAGCTCTCGCCCTAACTCGCCACCCCCGCAATTCGCTCGCGATCTTTAGTCTGTTTCGAGTGCGAGAGGAATGAGAACGTAGATTTGTGGCTTTGTGGCTGTGCGTCATGTTTTATTTACCGGAACATTTGCCTTTCACATTGTTATTAATTAATATTAGTTACATCGTAAGTTGAAAGCGCAATAAACCAAGTAACGCTCATATTAGACGCCCACTCCAAACATCTAACGTTTGCAACAAAATACAAAAGAAATGCATTCGAACACAGCAGACGAGTTGTGCAAAGAAAAGCAACAACACGCAATATGCGAGATCAAGTGCAATGGAAAGGAGGGGGAGAAGTGCAGCCACATATACATACATACATAAATACACACATAGGCACGAAATTACTGAGCACAAAGAAGATGGAAATAACAGCACTGGCACAGCAAACAACAACAACTGGCCATGCAGCTGATGTTGGGTGAGTAACCTAGTATAAGAGCTATTGAGAGAGGAAGAGAGAACAAGACAGACTAGAGAGCACACAAATACAGTAAGCCATAAAGAGAGCATATCTAGGCGCAGCACTCACAACGAATAGACAAAAATGAAATTCAAAAACCAATAATACGGCAAACGGACAAAAGTAAACAAAATTGCAATAAAGATGTAGGACCCATGACGACACTGTAGCAAAAGCACTAATAATGGGAAAGGATATATGTATGTATATAAGTATTTATGTACATGTATGTACATACTGTTCACTATTTACATGATTCGATGTACTGGGACTGCCAGCCATTAACATATTTTAAATCCAGTAAATCCAAAATGTCACAAATCTGCGCTTTACTTATACAAGTATTTTCCTATTTTTAGATACAAAATTTAAGAATAGAGAAACAGCTTTTTATTGCAATATTGAATCGTTATTTCAGCAAAATTTGGGCATTTGCAATTACTTTCAAATTTTAGTATTGATTTCTATTCCTTCGTTCCTCTTTCAATGCATGTTAACGCGTTGAGCACAATTATCGAAAAAATCTTACTTTTCTTTGGATAAATCTTATGGTTTCGCCATGAGTCAGTACTCGTACTACTTGAATGAAATAAAATCTACCAGTGCTACCTTTCCATTTTCAATTATCGAACGTTACGTAAACAGGCAAAGGCTGTGCATGTGGAATGCAAAATTCTATGAGTCTGGGCGCCAAGGATATTTCAAACTCTGCACTGCACGAGCTTCGGCCCCGGAATTCCCCTGCATGCTCGCATATTTGACTTTGGAAAATTTCTCTGTGTCTAGTAGTTTTCACTTTTACAACCATTCGAAACGAACGCCGCAAATCCAAAGCCAATTTGTGTCGACAAACCAACTGCTGGACAGAGAGCATACCAATCCATACTGGACCAGACTGGACCAGAGAGAATCATTGTAGACAGGAGCATAGTGGTTGGGACTAACCAAGCAGCACTTAGTTGTTCCATGCTTTCATTTCACAGTTCATTTTTAAGTTGCAAATAAAATTGTACAACGCTTGTTGGTTTATTTGCATAGAATTTTGGTTTGGTTTTTACACATAGACTCAGTATCAACAACAACTCAGAACAACAACAACAACAACAGCAGCATGACTGAGTTTTTCATTAACTTGCTGTGGGTGCGAGCTGAGAGGTGAGCTGCCGAGTTAAAGATAAAGACCGATTCCGTATCGTAAAATCAACAACAGCAAAAGTTCATGCAGCAACAATTCTTAGCAGTAAGGAGAGGACGAGCTGTCAGGGACCACACAAAGGCACACACACACACAGTCACACAAATATGCACACACACAGAGGCCAAATAAACTGCACTCAAATGTGGTTCCTCAACAGCTGCTATTGCGGCTGCATTTGCAACTGCACTGAGAAAAAAGTATAGGCACTGGTAAAAAGATGAGGAGACGCGCAGCAGAAGAGCAGAAGGAGAATAACAGTAGAACAACAGCGGAGTTACAGAGGAGCTACAGAAGAACAAAAGAGAAGAGAACAACAGAGGGGACAGAGAAAAGTAACAGAAGAACAACAGACGAACAACATAGGTGCTGCAGAAGAGCAACAGAAGAACAACAGAAAAGCAACAGAAGAACAACAGAAGAGCAACAGAAGAGCAACAGAAAAGAAACAGAGAAATAACAGAACACTGAAGAAATATAGGATGAAAATCTACTTAAGAACAAAGAACTGAAGAACTGCAAAAATAATTCCATATCAACATGAGTACAAATAGAAAATAAACTGACCACCAGCAGAGAACAAATGAAAGGAAGTGCAGTGCTGCAAAAATAATTGCAAATCAAAAAGAGCCCAAATCGAAAATAAACTGACCACCAGCAGAGAACAATTGGAAGAACAGTAAAGAAACCGGAAACCACAAGCCGTAGCTCTACAAAAAAACATACAATTGACAAAAAGCACAAACCAAAAAGGGCAGAAGAGAAAACAGACTGTGGTGATCTCCTTGGATGGGCTTCAAATACAACGAAGATACAGAACAAGAACAATAGGAGATGTAAGTAATTGTTTTATATTGTTCAGTTAAGCCTTTATTACATACTAC